ATATAAGGGAGTACCTCCCCCCCCCCTCCCGGGGGACATCCTCTCTTGGAAAAACCCACGAAGCCTTGTGACTATGAGCTTGAATTAGTCTGTGAGTAAATTCTGATAATCTGCTTTGTTTTTTTATTCCAGGAGAGGAAGTTCTTGATATCTTGTGGATTTGACGGATTCGTTGTGAGCCTTTTAACGTCTGGTGTTGCTCCAGTCTCTTCCTTATTTGAACTTTTCACGCAAGTATGTCACCAAACGCCAACTGCAGGCTGGACTCCTTCCCAGTCACCGCTGACATAAAAAAATTATGGCCTTTAATTCCCTTCATCCCCAGCGCTCTTCAATTTTCTCGTGATAGACTGGGAATGAGTCTGCCAGCAGGTTAGGACCTGTTTGCATCGAGAAAAGTTGTCGCTGGTACGAGGAGAGGCTTCTATGCCGAGCCACGCTAAGAGAGAGAACAGTTCTTGCATTTCATTACAAATAGCTTGGGGCGAGGTTGATCCTGAATGGAGCGTCACTTGCTTCGTACGTAGGGCTTACTAGATCTAACTTCCTTGTCGTAATTTTTCTCATCGGACCGTATTCGAGGGACAAGAGAAGGGTTGTAACAGTTCGGTAATAGTAGGGGAAAATGTTTGTCAAGGTTAAAGCAATTTGAAATTTCTTCTCGAGGTCAGATAATTTTCTTTACGTAGTGCTGTTTATAACGGTCGTCTTATTATGATCAAGTAAACATTTGCTTTCTGCAAGCGAAATGCATGTAATTCTATTTCTTGTTATGGTCAGTGAAAAAAGGTCCCATTGTCCAGGAAGACTAAAAAATTGTTTTCTCCCTGAGGTTGCAACAATGGACGGGAAACACACCAAAAAATGAGGCGAGAGTCTCGATTGGCGCATCCTGCCAAGATTAATCGCAGCGGGAAGACTGGCAACTGTCCTGTTAAATTGTTTTTCTCCTTCTTGTCTTTAAGAGAGAAGCGAACGAAAACGCGCAAGATGGCGCGGAGAAAAGAATAGTGGCCTAGGGAAGGCCCCCCATTGCTGAACGATTTATTTCAGATCTTTAATTTTAGTGCTGTGTTTTTTCTTCCTTACAGGTCATTTTGATGGGGCCTTTAAGACTCGTGCTCGCATTGCACTTGTATTATTATGATCGCATTGTAATGAAAGGGATGCTAAAGAGAGAAGCAAGCAAGAAGACCAACTAACAGCCTCACTTACACCATGGACAACGTCAACGCATGCGTAAAATGCTGATAACACACCTACGTAATGTTTTACTTTGAGAAATTTTTCTAACGAGCATTTGAACCGAATTTTTTTAATATATAGATATGCAAAATGTTGCGAGTTCTTTGAGAGACTCCACATTACAATGGCGCCACTCCGTTATAAATCGTGTGGCTAATCGTTGCTCTAAACGTGCTGGCATGGTGTTAGTCCTGACCACACTTCGATCCACGCACTTTACTCTTATTGAAGCTTCCCTACAATGGACGTGTCCATACAACAGCCAGTGAATTCTGATCTGGGATGGTATTGAAGAGACGTTTAACTCTCTAATCAGTTGCGGGAGGAACTGTCCTGCCATCTCCAGCCATCTCCAGCCCGGCTGGGAGGAGGGTACTCCCTTATATGGGCAATATAAGTATGTGCGGCCCCAAAGGGTAGGGTTTTTCGGCCGTCTTGGTCATAAATAAAGTATCGATTTTAGCCATCTTGGTCTTAAATAGCGTATGGTTTTAGCACGCTTTAGTCTTGAATTGGGTATGTTTCTTGGAAGAAGCTACTTTGTCATCATTATCAATAAGACCGCCAACAAAAGCCCTTCATAACTTATGTTTAGGGCAACTGTGCCAGCCGCAACGGTTTTTAATAGGTATCGAATTTTTGGCCAGGTCATAGATAGGGTAGCAAAAATCGCAGATTTTGGTCATAAATAGGGCAGTGGATTCTTCACTGTTGTAAGCAGGATTAACAAACTACAGAAAACAATTGATTGAAGCAAAGAAATAGTTTTCATTAAGCTTATTCCCAAACAAATGCTCGCTGAAAAACCTACTCTTCAATGAGAAAATGGAATCTTATAAAATGGAAAGACGATACTCAGAGTGATGTCGCTACTAGGATTTATGCGGATCAAGACGACTCCGTAATCCATCGAAGAGCTCATCAACTGCAGCTTCTTCAACAAACTTCGACACAAGGCAAACACGTCGTTGGGACATACTCTCGAGATAATTCCAATGAATCTCCTTGCAACACAGTGCGGCACAGGAGAAGCCTTTCAAATTCACACTAAATTCTGCTGATACGCAATGGACGTAAATCGGTCTGGTTATTTGGAAAGCAGAACATTTTGCGTCATAACACGTTATGAAGTTGTCCGCCGTCTTTAAACGATACGCTCGGTCTGCGCCCTCAGAGAGACTGATGACGTTACTTCAAATTTTGATAATATACTTGAAAACGCAAAGGACTCTGGGATACTATTTAATCCCCCTCTGTAAATAGGGTAAAGGTTATGGGAAGTGGGCCGCACACCCCCACCCAACTTATCTGGGAGTACCCCCCCCCCCTCTCCGGGAAGGAGAGGAACCTAGCGATGTTCTCTTCCGGCACTTAGTCAATTAAAAATGTATTTCAACATACATACATACATACATACATACTTTATTGGCTCGTCCCCACGGGGCTTTTCAAAGTCAATTTTACATTACAAAATTAAAAACTAAGTACATGACAATGATAAAAGAAGATAAAGGTTAATAAAATTAAATAAAACAGTCATTAAGAAGCTTTTGCCTGAGTGAGCGCTTGAAATCCGTCACAGATGGGCTAAGTTTGAGCGCAGGCTGCAACTCATTCCATAGAGAGGTCGCTCTATATTGAAAGGTCTTTTGGCCGCTGGCAGTGCGGAAGAGTGGTATGTTCAAAAGTTGAGAGTATTGGTATTCCTTGTCGAGACGGCGGATCTAGATCTTCTGACAAGCTTAGATGTCAAATACTCCGGAGCACAACTCGTCATGCACTTAAAAACCAGAACAGCAAGACGAAAATAAAGTTGTTGCGTGATTGGTAGCCAGCGCAAGTCTTTTAGCAAAGGAGTTATGTTATCGAATTTTTCAGCGCCACACAAAATGCGACAAGCAAAATTCTGTACTGCTTGGAACTTGTCCAGATTAGCTTGAGTAGTATTGCTCCAAACAGAAGAGCAATAGAGTAATTTACTAAACACATATTAATTAGTAATTGTTATTTCAAATTTAAAACTGGGCCAGTTATTACGAATGCCAAAAAATAATATAACTCTACCTTCCTAACTAAAACCAAAAAAGATTGTTCAAATCCTAGTTAAAATTCGCAGTAGTTCATTAAAGGAAAATCACTTTCTCGGTTAGGCTTTGTTACGTTTAAGCGCTGCTTTTTTAAAACCATCTATTGTAGCATTTCTAAGCCCCTTGATGCACTGTATCAAGACTGCTTGTATAGCAAATCAAATGATTTTTCACGTGCAATTTGTGATAAAATAATGTTTTTTTTTCCTTTTTGTCTGTTCCAAGCCACTCGAACAATTCCCTAACTAGCTTGACATAACTCATAGTATCGCATGGGGCGAAAAGAAAATTATGGAAATTTATGGTCGCGTCCCTAATCAGTGACGCGGAAATAAACGTTTTTAGTGCGACATTAAATTAATGCGAATTTTAATAATTTGCGTTAATTTAGTGAAGCGTTAATTTCCTGTTAATAATATATTTCGAGTCTCACCACTTAATATATTCCAAGACATAACAATCCAGTGAATTCTGTTGAGTTTTATAAATTATTCAGCGTGCTTTGATAGGCATGCAGAAACAGTCCGCAGCATTCAGTGGATTGTAACGTCTTTGAATAAATAAAGTGGCAAGACTCTGTATACTTTGTTAAAGGAAATTAAATGTCACAACGGAGTCATAGTCTAAAAATAATTTGGAGCGATCTTACAATACCGGGCCACGTATTAACATATTTCTCAACGCTTCTAAAAACGAAGCATATAGAAACAAAACGAACCATTCAAATTCAACGAGATACACATAAGTGGCCTGGTATTGTACATTCAGGCCGATATTTTTTTTAAATTTCCAGCTAATATTTCTATCTATATTCCAGTAGCTGTGATGGAAGATAGCCTGTGTGCAACGCAGGTTAGATGAAAGATAACTCATGATCCGCCATTTTTCTCACAATGCACCATTAGAAACCCTTAGCAACACCCTGAACAGTTCGATCAATTGCCCGCCTCGGGATCAATTTGGCGCATAGGTACCACTACCCATAAAACCTTTCGACATTATATTATCGCGTATGCTTTTGCAGTAACACTGCAGAACAACCTTTTTCACAACGACAATTAAATATGCAGGCGCGCGGTGTCAGCCGATAGCAGCCATTTGCGCTCATTTCCGGTCAGAATGTATATCTCTTCACTCATACCCTTTTAAATTTATTTTTTCTTGCTTTGTTTGACATCGAGGGGAAATAACGGGCTTTTTAATTTAGCCAGATACTGGGTCGCTATTACATGGCGGTTTTCCTGTTTATTCTATAGTCAATTTCCAGAGACTAATTAATTTGACGTAATGGTAAAATTATTTCACCATCTTTGCATTACGTGATCGTGGGATTATGCACCAATAAACCTCGAACACTGAATCGCTCAAAGGTCATTTAGAAGAAAAAAGATAAAAAATATTCTCCTTTCCTAAAGTTTCCCAAGTTTTCAGTACGACATCTACTTAGTTACAAGGAAAGTAGTGTGTTAAATGTGTAAAGAACAACCTGAATTACTATGGAGAACAAATTATGCATGCTTCTAAAAATAGCACTTACTATGAAACGCGACCCCACCCCCGCAGGCATGACCTTCGGATGCGCAGTAATCCTGCGCAGTTGTTTCGTTTGGAAATGTCGATGTGAGGAATGCATTTACAAGTTGTGTTGTGCCACCAGTTGAAGAGCTACAAGCCAAATTCCTCATGTCCAAACTACTCAGAGGATCACGGAAAGTACCAACACAGCTAGATCTTAGTATTATCGAAGTAAAATCTAAGGTAAGGGAGGGGTTTTTGTGGAATCCTTACAACAATAGTAAGCTGAGAGGTGCAGAATTAAACCGTCTTCGTTCTTCTTCAAAAATGAGCTAAGAATACGCCACCTTTTGTCCGCAGTTTGATGCAGAATTCCGGAGGTTTCCGTTGGATAAAGCGCAGTTGAAGACGTTCGAAGAATTCTACAAGCATGTACAGACCATTCACAAGCTGCAAGCTATTCCGTTTACGACTTGGTACACAGACATGCATGGCGATTTATTGCCAATAAACAACGATGATAATTTTCTCCGAGCTGTAGCAACCGCTCGACCGCTCTTACGAGTTTTCGTCCAGCGTAAAGGTACGCAACATAAAATTTAATTCCATTTCAATTTTAAGTTACACTTATTATAGCGATTGCTTTTCAAATCGGTCCTTAATTTTGCGATATTTCCAGAAAAAACTAAACGGCTTAACAACGTTTCACAATGGTTCAGTTATTAATACTGAACAAACCTCTGCAAGTTTTTTCTTCGGCATTGATCAGCTTAGCTTATAAGTCTTAATTCTTTGCATTCTTATTTAACTTGGCGAACGTTGGCTTTTGCTTTTAATAATTTGTTATTTTTCCGATGAGATACATATTTTCTTTATTGTAATGGATATTTAAAAGCATCGGCCATCTTTTCTTTGATACAATGTAAATTCAATTAGAATTTTAAAATCAGTTTCGAGGATGTTGTGTGTTTGTTTACTCAAACCACTATCGAAACTTATTTCTCTAAGCTCCTTTTTCTTTGTTCACGTCATGAAAATGCATTTGCAGACAAGATCCTTATGTTGTATTTGTTTTCTTTCTTATGAAGGTCAATTTCTACCAGACTGACTGTTTCAGTCTTTGTTTAACCCTTACAATATTGAAGTTGAAACCTTAAATTGAGGTTACTAATCACAGCAGATCCCCAAAATTTGACATCAGAAGCTTTTTACTGAGCAATTATATGGAGATTTTTTTTTCCCCTTGTACTCACAACATCACTTGTGTACTACAAGTACCCTGATATTAGTTCAGCATCTGTTGTAAAACTTGAGAAACTGTGAATCAAATATCCTAGAGAGTAGTTCTTGCCATGTGAAAACTGAAGTGCCATTGATTGTGGAGAGGAGCTGTGTTTGGATAAATAACAGTGCACTATTTCAATTGTTTGTTTACCCAATCACAAGCCCTATACTACACCAAACGTTTCTAAAGTGGTGCCTTAATGCATTAGTTGTTTATGTTATTCTGACTGTAATTATTGTTTTGTGATATGTTCATCCATTTTACCTAATATGTGTCAATGCATGTCTTGTTTGTGTCAGGGGTTTCATTAAGGGTCGGGCACCGGGCAAATTGACTGGCTGTGAACACAATTTTTCCCACCTGGTTTGACAATCTAGGGAAAGTTATTCTTATAAAGAAGTTCAGTTAAAAAAGGGTTTGCCTGCAAGTGAAAACCAGTTGCCCCCCTGCTGAAAATATTAATGAAACCCCTGATGTGTTAGTCTCTGGGCAGTGGCCCACAGTGAACAAATAATGACCATGCTGTACCGGATAGCAATTCTATGTCTGTATATATAAATATATATGTTTGGAAAGTAGAGAATTTGGATTGCTAGAAACTGAAGCAGGACAGGAGCAGCTTGTGGGTAATTACTATGGGTAATCAACTGGTATTTAGGGAAATTAGAAAATTATTTTTCACAAGTTTTGTCAAAACTTTAATAATTTTCTGAGCCCTAAGGTAAGGGAAATTAATGTGAGTACATATTTAACAATTGGACCCGTAGCCCGCAAGGGCTTTTGACCCGTGGCCCTTGAGGGCGAAGGGTCTAATTGTTTTAGTATCACCCAACTAGTCGGACAGAAAAGGCAATCATAAGGTTAGCAAATGCAAGTTGAAGAAATATTTATTTGGGAATAAAACAAGAGAAAGCGTCACGCTCGATTGTGCCAATTTCACTACTTGAGGGCTATTACTACCGTATTTACCCGTGTATAAGTCGACCACCAATTTTTGAGGCCAAAAACTAGATTTTCTTAATTTCCAGGTAAGAATTTCTTGGAAAACTTATCTTGTATTTCTTAGAATTATCTTTCAGCTATCACAGATATGTAAACAAATCACAGCAAGTTTCAACGCACAGTTTTAATAAACTTATTATGGCACGTATACGAGCATTTTACCAAGTTTAGAAACACGTGTGTATGCGGGCTTTTTGACAATAATATTTGTCAAATGTTCACAAAATCAAACATAAGGATTTCAAACGAACCTTTGTAAGTGCAAAGAGATTAAAAGTGGCTTTATAAGACAGGCAAAACACCAAAGAAGCTCAAGACTTTCAAACAACTCCATAAACAAAGTGCAAAGCATGTGTTGGGAACTTGGTAGCCAAGCCTTGAAATCGGTCAAGTACTGGTACAGAAGTCCTCCCGCTCATATCCTGCCAGGTTACTAAGCAGAGAAGTTTGAAGCACGAAAGATGTTTTCTCCAAGCAGCTTTACTGCAGCTTTATTTACAGGAAAAATATGACAAAATTGAGCCAGTGAGTGTCTACAAGATTCAGGTTAACATTTAGCGGATAAATGTTGATGCATTTTAACTTGAAGCTCTGATATAGAGAAACAGATC